AATAAATAAATAAATAATAAGTAAATAAATGTAGAACTAAATACTTTATTGAGTAGTTCAAACACATCAATAACTAGTGACCCAGTAGTTTATTGTACATGAGTTGAGTTTTTAAACTTGAATTTATACTTGGTAAGCATTTGTGGCGTAAAGTTTTATTTGTTTCCTGTAACTGTTGATTATCACCCTGAGCTGATAGCGATGAAAATCGCCTGAAAAGTTGAAAGTGAAACTATATGCACCCTCTCCTCACTTATGGTCAGTGGCTAAATTGTGTATAATTGCATGTCAGAAAACTCCCTGTAAGAAAGCACACACTAAAAGCCATATTTCTGACTCAACACCAGCACAGAAGCACACGATGGTAATGTAATGAAAGTATAATCAAGCCAAGGGAATCTGTTAATGCTTTCCAACAGAAATAGCATTTTCTCTGTGTTTTTAATTTACTGACTGAGTTATAGAAAAATTCATGAAAGTTTGGAAGGACTCGAAAAAAGGCTGACTGCAGTATCACTTGATAGAAACATGGCAAATGCTATTAATACATTTATTTATTTAATGTTTATATCACTGACATAAAATTAAAATTTTTTTTTTTCATGTTTGTGTCATTTCACCTATTCAATCTATTTGCAAACCAAAGCATACTGAGTTCTAAATATGGATCAACCAAAAAAACCTGTAAGTTTTTCATTCACGGGAAGATACATGCAATTTCACCACACCTAAAAACATGACACATGACTGTATGATTTCCAGGGGATTGTTTTTCTATCCCAAGTAGTTTATGTCCCTTGTTCACAATTACTTATTCACTGCTGTTATGAAATTTGATGAAAGTGTAAATTGTAAACAGTTTCTTAATGTTTACAGATCAATGGTCAACAAGGCACTAATAGCCTATTTTTATTATTGACCAATCAGTGCTCAGCTTTGAATGCATAATATCTTCAGTTGGTCATTGTGTAGGAGGTTACAGACTAACCTACAGCACAATATTAAGATTTATATTTTCAACACAGTTATAACTCTTTCTAACCTTTGTTACTGATTATGACCCTGATATAAAGGAAATAACTGTAGTTTCAAATAAAACCCTAATCAAAGGCTTTAAAAACAGATGACTAGTGATACCGAACTTATCTTATGTTAAATTTAATGAGTTAGTTTTAAAGCTTTTAAAGCTTGAAATGATATTGCTCAATGTTGAGAGCAAAATTAGATCATTGTGTTTCAATATTCCATGATAATATTGCAGTTTCCCTTAAAAGCTAGCTATTAAGGTCAATATCAAGATGAATACATGTATGCTTAATTGTTTGATATTGTAGAAGTTTCCTTTGGCCAAACTAGATTAATATAAGTCTATTAAATGTTATGTGTGTGGTTTACTTTTGAGGTCAAGTTTAAAATACAGAAGAAAAAAAACAATGTTTTCAATGACTAGGCACTATAGCTGGCCACCGTTTTCCCTTTTTCCCTGTACACAATGCTTTCAAACTGCATTTAATCATTGTGCTGTTCCCAAAAAAAAAAAAATTCTGTGCCATTAAAAGTTTTCTTAGGTTTAAACCTCCCACCTGGTTCATACTTCCCTTTAAAAATTTTGGCTTTTGACAACCCCATCCCCCTTGGAATTTCCAATAACCTGGAGTTCTTGGGTGGTATGAATATTTTCTGGAACCTCGCACTGGAAAAGATACCCTGTGAGCAGTTGATTTCTTCTATGCTGAATGAGAGAGTTCCTCTCTCATTTGGCATGGAATAGTTGTTCAAGGAACCCAACTGTAAGTAGCTGATGATCAGTGTATTGTCTTGAGTTACAGTGAAATTTGTTAGACTGAATGGAAAAAAAATCTCAGGAATCAGATTAAAGTATGGCTTCCAGTTGTGGCAAGCTGAAATAACAAGAATAAATTTCTGTAGGAACCGCAATGATAAACAGAGACATTAAAAAGCCCATGACATTATTTAATAAGAATATGACACTCTCTTGATCGATGTCATAAGAACACAAGCTAGGTTGTCTAAAACAATATCCTGCTGGCGTTATCATTTTCAAACTGGTTTTTCGAGGATTACCATACACGTACATGAATATAAACATCAACTTCCTTGCCACCTAATGAGTTTGCTAAATGGAAGTGTAATTTCATGGCAATAATCCATTTTTTGAAATGAATAGCTAGAGATCTAGAATAATCATTTGGTAGCCTGATATAAACTGCGCAGTTATTAATTCACCTCTTTCATGTTTTTAGCCAAGACGAAAATATTATTATTATTTGTGCTGTATTCTGCATAAATCAAGAGTTAGTGTCAAAACTATTAAGTGTTTTATTTATTTATTTATTTATTTTTTATTTATTTTTTTGTAGGAAATCAGTTTATTATTTTGCTACAGCTAATTTTTTTTTTGTGAGAACTGGAAAAATTGAAATCTGCAATAGTTTCATGAAATTATTTGGTGCAGCAAACATGCTAATGGCATTATTACAAACCTGACCATTTGTACATTTCTCATGATGTGTTTATGCTGTTAAGGAGAAACGAGACATCAATCCTATTTTTTTATTTTATTTTCAATAAGTAGATTCAAAGGAAAGATTCAAAAATATTTTTAGCAAAGTTATCTCAAATATTTTGGTACAAATTGTTAGGTATTGTTTAATTTCTGTGGACTCATGTTAGGAAATATAGATATATCAGAAATGCAGTGTTGCATAAATTTTTTTCTTGTTTTTATTTCTCTCATGTGAATGGATTTGCAAGTTTAAAATTAGAGATGACTTATTATGACATTTTGTTTTACAATTTCAGTTTTACATTTGGACATTTTTTAAGGGTACACATTTTATTCAAGACTCAAGAGCTATAAATATTTTTCCTTCTAAGGTGAATTTTTTTTTATTCAATTACAAAAAATATATATATAAACATAAGTTAAGATGTGCCAAGGACCACAATCTTCTTCAATGGGTGTGGAGGAAGTCGTTACATGATGGGTCAAAATAATTTCCGTTGAAATATGCAAGAATACGTTAAACAACAGGAAATGATCAATGGGCTTAGATACAAGGAAATACATTCGTTGGTCGAACAAAACCGCTGTTTTACTAGTTCCGGTTTATTTACTCTTAGTTATTGCAGTCACGTCTTCCGTTGGCGTTAGTTTTGCAAGTTATTTTATAAAATACTTTTAATTCAAGAAGATTTTGTTGAACCACATGTGACAAGCGTGTCGTAACTGTCAGATAAAAGTGATCGATCTATGACGTTTACGAAGTCACGTGTCCTTGACAAACTTTAAACCTCATTTGATATGTGTGGCGATGTCAAAGTCAACTTCATCTACAATGCCCGTAACTGAAGTGCAGGTATTTTTGATTTGTTTTCCCTTTTCGCCGTCAAAATTTTACCCCGATGTAGCAGTTTATTTTTTGAAGCTTAGAGGAATATTTTTTACTTACAACTAACGCGTCAATCGGCAATTTAGACGAATTCAATTCATTTCAATTTGTAGCATACCATGACAGAATTACTGCCTAACTGACTTTAAATTATTGATTTTTATTTTCAGTGGATCGGGGCCAGTTGTGGACGGCATAGCTGTTATACCTTCTACAGAGGTTTCAGATTAACTATCGATGGAGTGGTGAAAAATTTTTGCCTCGGAGAGTTTTATTTTGTGAGGAATTCCATAAACCAACCGATATGCATAGCTGAGCTACAATTAGTTTGGCACGATGCGAGTAATGACAGCCAGCTTGCTTCCGCGAGACTTTATTTCAGACCCGAAGATACTCCCGCAGGACGCCTTGCAAACCACGGACAGGTCAGTTATTTATAAAACTATTTCCAAGGGATTTTATTTCATTTTTCGCGCTTAGATTTGCCGTTTTGGAGTCTGTAAAAAGGCCGTGCTTAACAAATCTTAAAACACTAAAAATTTGTTTGTTGAAGTTATAATGCTTCATTGATTTTGTGAAGACGTTGTTAGAAATTGGCGCTGGAAATCGACTTCAATTTATCTTTTTATTTCTAAACAGATCGGAAAAATAAATCAAATTATCTTTCATTTTATTTCATAGCGATAAACAACTTCAAAACATTAGCTGGCGAGAAAGAAATCACGACGCAATAAAACGGAATATTTAAGCTCGGTAGAGCACGCTTTTGTATCTGTCCACCACTTGTATGTCCTATATTTAGATGAATATTTATCAGAACTAGGAAAAAATAATGTGCCTAAAATATTTTGTTTTTTTAGTAGTGATCTTAAGTCCCTCCACTCGTAAGTGTAACACTTTATGTAAAAAGGACCGAGGAACTTAGATTTGGTCTTTTGTTTCTATAGCGCGCTGCGAGGAAGTGAAAGAATTCCCATGTGCTGATGAACTTCATTAAATTTCATTTCTTAATTTTAATAACGTCCGAACTGATTTTATGGTCTCTTAATTGCCTGGATAAGCTGTTTGGAAATTCAACAGTTTACGGATTCGAACTGGCAGTTAATTTGCGAGCCTGGGACACTCTGTACTATTTTATCAGCAACAGGATGACGGTTTCATGTAATCAACTTTTTACAACACCACGCAATTTATATTCATGAGGTCGTATTGGTAAACAAGGATTTATTCATCCCGCGTTCCGTACGGTGTTTACAGTTATTTCCAAATATTTCTCGTTTGGGGTGCAAATTTAATTTAAATTTCACGGAGATTTCAATCGAGAAATGAAGAGTTTACTTGAGAACAATAATTTAAGCTATAAAACACCAAGCGGTGTTTTGGGTTAAACAAAAGACACTGATTTGCATTTTCACCACCGCAAGTAGAATTCACTCGCAATGTTTCCGGTCGAGAGATTGTATTTCAGTTTGCTAAGTAATTTTATTTTTGGTTATTATTTCGTTTTCGCTTTTTGGGATTTTACAAATGGAAATTTTAAACCAAAAAATGGTCGTTTACGTGGTGCGATTTCAAGCAGAAATTGACATTGTGTTTGATAAAAAATAGCACCTCTGTGCCTTCGACAGATGCGTATTAAGACAACACAATAGGAAATATTTGAATAAAAATAATAACCTGCCTTTTAGCTTTTAGAAATTATCCTAATATGGCTTTTCTTCCCGTGCTATCTACCCGTTTTAGATAACTTTTTTGACCCAGAAATCTAAAATTCTTTTTAGTGGCGGTTCCGCGCGTTTCTGTGTCCGAAATTAGAGATTTCGAACAGAGATCGGTGCGTGTAAACAAATTACCACATGGTCTTGATATTAATTGGAATTAGAATCTTTGAATTGTTTTTCGTGAAATATTGGGTAATGGAATATGTTTCAATGTTAAAATTGCTAAATGATCGATGTGGTGTTGTTAATGTGTACGAATAGACCAATGCTATTTCAAAACAAGGCTGGCATTCACTTGTAAATTTCCCTAGTTACTTAATACGTTTTACATTACATTATCTTTTATTCGGGATTAAGAGAGAGATCAATTCCACTTTACAATTGTTTTTATTCCATACTCTTTTCAGATCTTTACCGGGGCGGATATTTTGAGAAAATCTCTTGAAAGATAAATACCATGTTTTTCTTTCTAACCTACTCCAAAGGGTATTCGTTTTGATAATTGATTGTCCAGTGTTTTGCTTTGCCAATTTCATTGTTGAAATTTGATTGAGTCCATTTAAATGAAAAGTAACGTGATTATTGTATGGGCCTCATGTAATAGTTCATTGTTATACTCACATCATCAATGCTCCTTGAGCTTCCCTTAAAATCTATGATTGTAAGTTTTTTTTTGCATGGAAAAAGCTTACAATGATTTTTAGAACTTTTATTGTGTCATGCGAAGCTTTGATATCTTCTTCACACTGAGAAATGATGTGTGCATGATTCCAGGTTTTTGAATGACACAATTTTTGTTGCAAGATAACTCTAAAAATTGGGTGCTTCAGTATAATTCAATATCGCTGGTCAGAGTGAAAGATAAGTCAATAACTTTAGACTACATAGCTAGAGTGAGGAGTTACTGGTAATAATAATTCATACTACCACTTCTTGCTAAATGCAGTGTGTTTTGTCACTTTCAAGACTGTCTCATTTCTTCTTACTTCTTTAGTAAATGCACCAGGTTCTGTACTTGTAGGTAATTGACAACCACTCGTAAAGTGATGTGAATTTATTGTATTCCATTTATCAGCTTTGTTTCTGTGGCAATTATCTGATACATTATGTACAACACAATTTTATCCTCATTTATACATGGTTAGCTATCTTTTTATCCACTTAATATATCTTTTTTTCTGTTTTAAGTCCACATTACTACTCATAAACAACTCATTTAATTGATGTTCCAGTAAGTACTTGTTAAAGTGTTGCATGAATGACTACTATTTAGCACATATGTTCATGTATCACCAAGAGCCAACTTACATGTAGGCTTTTAGCACATGTGCATGCAACAAAAGGTTGAGTTAATTACCAATCTGTTCTCTAACATCTGTCAAAAGAAAAATAATTTCTGTCTAAGGGCACTGGTTGTGTCTGGCTGTTTTATGTATAATTAGCATTGTAAGCATTATTCTGAAATGTAAAAAGTTAAATGTAAATATCTGAATTAGGGGCAGCTAAACTTTCACAGGTTTGTTCATCCAACCTGGTGTTGATCAAAAAATGTTCAGTTGTTTTTACATGTAATATAGTATCTCAAAGTGAAAATTTTAAGTGCAGTATTATCCGTAGCTTCCATTGTTGCATCCCCTTTGTTGGGAGGTTTTTTCTAACATTTTTGATATTTCACTGTGGTTATGATGGTACAAGGATATTTTTAAAAAAGCAAAAAAGTAACTTATCAGATCCCTTATAAATTGAGGTTTTTTATTACTTGAGTGGTTTATAGTGAATTTGTGAATCTACTTTAGTTGTAAAGAAAGAAAAAATAACTTGAAGATGTTATGAACTGAACTACAGTATGTTATCATATCAATTTCTCCTTTGCTGTGGGTTTTTCAAAAACAAAATTATCTGTTCCTATCGCCAAAAAAATAAACCAGTTAAAAAGTATTTATTGTTTACTAGATCCATGGTATAGACAGGTAAACTTCACAATCAAAATGACCATGTACAGGTACATTATTTGGCCAGAGATGTTTCTGCACTATTCCTGTATGCAGTGTAGTTTTAAGCGTCAGTTTATCTAACATCACTCACATTTAGCTTGATTGAACTGATTAGTGCTCTAACTAACTACAAGATCTTATGGATATAATATTTTGGGAAATAACCTACTTTGTTTAATGCCTTCTAAAAAATTCTGATAAACTTTTCAATACCATTTTCATTCTTGGTGGCATTTAGCAATTTGGTGGATTTTTATCCTGGTAAATCTTGTCTTTTTAGTCTATGACCCTATGTATTTGTGATGTAAAAATGTAGGGGGTTTTTTACTTTCAAAATGTGGAAGAGCTCTGATGAACTCATTGGAAGGTGTTCATGCATCAAGATCAGAGCCATGTTCAGTAGTTCTAAGTGTTTGTGGTTCATTTAGTCTCTCTACTTTATGTAATACTTAAACTGTAGTATGTCATGACATAAATGGGATAATCATAGACTAGTGATCTGTCTAGACAGTTTTGTTGTCTGACTTATAATCCATCTGCTTGTAACATGGCAAAAGGGGAACAATCACAGAACAATGCCTGACTCATAATCCATCTGGTATTAACACGGGGTTCAAGGGAAGGTCTCAAACTGGAAATAAGTGGATTATTAGTGGTTTAGGGAAGTCTTCATTTTGGCCCAAGCAATCTTGCAGTTATGCTTTTAGTGGCGACAACACCTCTCTAACTTGCATGTGACCAGGGATGTACAGAGTTGTTACCACTAACTAAATGGGCTTTGTTTGTCCTCAGGATGAGTTACTTTATGCTGACCAGAAAATTGTCATCAAGTGCCATGATATGGCTGTGTGGCAGGACTCAGGTCTCCAATGGAACTCTGGATTGGTACCCTTATGTGAAAGTGACTTTTTCTGTGTTGACCACAAATATTATCTAAACAGCAACTATGCTGTGAAGGAGAAAGAAACATTACAAAATGCCAAAGAAGTGTGGATGAAAGGAGATCACCCTCGCAACCTTCAGATCCTCACATTTCCAGCGTACTGTCGTTACAGGGGTCTCAAAAAGAGGCTCTTATCTGGCATGTGTTTGACAAGAGCTCAGTTAGTTGCCCTGGGAGGAGTTATTGCAGAAAACAGAAGTACACGGGTGCTTTTCTGTCGTGACAGTTTCCATCACCCTTACTTGGACAAGTTTGAATTATCTGGTGATAACAAAGGTATGCCATGTTCAGAAGACGATAAAGTTGCACCAAAAAGTCAACTTATTAGTAGATATTTTGGGCCTGGCACATCTCTCATTTACATCTCTCATCTACATCTCTGTCAGAGATGTAGCTAACAGTGGCTACTGACTAATTTCACCAGCTGAAAGAAAACTTAATCCAGCTGAAATTTCACACCAAAGAAGTCTTTTTGTAAACTTTGGAGCTGCCAAGGTCAGAAAAGCCAGCTGGCCTGGCTAATGAGCTGGTTTATTACATTTTCTTAGCGTCATCCATACTATCCAACAGATAAATATGTCCAGATAGACATGCAGACCTGGATATTTGGGGAGTGCTTTTTAGACACAATAAATTTCCTAGGGTTTGGTCTGAGGGTAAATATTATGACAGATAATCAGTCATAAAATACATTGAGGCTAATGCCAGACAGATTACAGTCCTTTCTTAATATTATATATCTGTTATCTTTATTGTTGTTGTGAATATCAAATTACCTGTGTCTGAGTCAGGTAAATTGTCTGAGAATTTCCATCTCAGACACTTAACCTGCCTCAAACACAGGTAATTTGTTATTCACAGCTCGTGAATCCAGTCACTAATATTCTGAGAGGGAATAAAGATACTTATTACTCTTGTGGCTAAACGAGTTAAGTTATGCACTGCATCTTGCCATTTTGTTTTCCAGTTAAAAAAGGAATTTTGGTTTGATAAAAATCCCAGTATGAGCAGTGAAACAATGAGGAAAATTAGTTGACCCCATGTGCTCTTGTTAGATCTTTGATTAGCTGAGACATTAATTTTGTGAAACCAACAGAAAAATGTGAAAATTTGTCAACAGCATAAAATCAAGTGGTAGATAAATGCTCTAATCCTGCTTTTTTTCACCACTAGCACCAGTTCTGAAAGGCAGGCCAAGGAAGAAAAAGAAGCTAAATGCGGTACAGAATAGTGTTCTTAAGAAGAAACGATTTGTGGCCGACATTCAAAATCATCTAACAAATTCACCTGCAGCAAAGAGATGCAAGCTATCAGAGGAAGAGGAGAGCACAGGGTCTGACATGTCAGAAGGGGTATTGGAGAGAACAAAGGCACCTCCTCAAGTGGGACGGAAAGTTCAAAGTATTGGGCCCCCGCCATTGGTTAAGCCTAGAGTACAGGTTACAATTCCAGACAAGGCAGAAACAGCTGAGATTTCTAAAGTTGCTGCTCAAGATGTGCCACAGTCGAGAGGAGAAAACCCAAAGGTTCCTCCACCTCTAATTCCTTCTAATATGATAAGGAGAGATGTTGCACGTACTTCACAGCCACTTCAGTCCAGCCGCAAGCATCTAAATGAGAACATTACTGAGTGTTCAAGAACAACACCAATTCAAAAGGTGATTTCAGCCAGCAGTACAAAGCTAAGAGACATTGAAAAAGTTAGCAACAACAACAGCAATGTATTGATGATCAAGCCACACTTAACAGATAGAAATCAGACCAAAGTGACAGTTGCTCCTGTAACTAGTTCCAGTCCTTCCTTGGAAAGTAAACCTAGTAAACTGCTGAATTCATTGGTGGAAAATAGGAAAATATTAAAACCTGGGACAACTGTTACACACACCCAGAGTGTGAGTTCAGGTGTGAACACAATTCCAACTGTCCAGGCAGGTGTACGCTCACATATTGCCTCAAGAACCCGACCAGTTACCACAACACAGGGAACTGTCAGCACACATGTGGTAACATCCACATGCTCCACAGTACGCAATCAACCCATTGCATCTCTGCAGCAGACCGACATTAGTGTCCAAGCAGTTGCTCCAAAACCTCAGCAGGCTGTAACACCCTTGGCTGGGTCTACATCATCTTCAGTGAACGCCAGTGATGGCATGATTGCAACTGGTGGCTTACATGTGAAATCGAAGCCAAGCAAGGAGAATGAAGAGAGACAACTGAGACAATGCATTTCAGAGGAGAAGAAAGAGAATGAAATAGAACAAACAGATGAATCTGTCGCTTGGAAAAAGAAGAAAAAACGACTACGAATGCCTGGCAATGTAAAGGATGAGGTAGGCGCTCTGAAAAAATTTATTTGGGCTTGAAATTCTTGGTGTGCTGCATTTTGTCAACACACTACAAAAATAAATGACATAGAATTGTCTTTAGCTATGAACACTTTTTGCTCCCAAATATTTTATCCAGTGGGACTATTATTCTGTGTTCTTTGTTTTTTTCCAAATTATAAAGTATAACCCCAAAGTTGAAAGTCCTGAATTATGTCACTTATGATAACATATCACAAATGTACCTCTTTGTTGTGACATCTCAAATTCGAATCTTAATTTATAGGAGTATGACGGTGATGATGAAAAGGACTTCATGCAAGCCCTGCGGGATTTCATGAGGAAGAACAACCAACCACTTGGCAAGCTTCCCGCCTTGGGCTTTAAGAAAGGTATGACTAGCAAATTAAAAACATGTGGCATGTCTGTTCTAACTAGTGACACTGTTATTTAATTTAAATTTGTAGTTTATTAACTTCCTTCTGAATAGTGTCTAAGGTGTTAAAGCATTATTTTGACCTCTTGGATATTTTTTGTTGCTATTTCAATATGGTATACTGTTTTGTTATTCCTGTAGTTAATCTTTGGACAATGTACAGCACCGCACAGAGATTTGGAGGATATGATGCAGTGAGTATCACTTTGCTTGTTTTAAGGTTTCAAGAGTGTTAAGGTACTTTGGGAGAGTGAAGTCACCTCAAGCAGGTCTAGAGAAAGACATAAGACCCAGCTACCTTGATCAATCAAGGCATGTAGAATGTATGAGTTTGGTTTTTCATTCAAAACGGTTACTTACAAGTCAAATTGTGTCTAGGTAACAAGCAAGCGTTTGTGGCGACGTGTTTATGACTCACTTGGAGGGAGTACAACAATAACTAGTGCTGCCACATACACCAGGAGACATTATGAAAGGTAAGTAATGATTACTATGTCCTTAGTATGTCCTTTCCTATGTCCTGTCCTATGTCCTGTTATAATTATTATACAGGAGATACCCTGGACTTGTGTCATCTATCTCAATCTGCATAGCGTGAATAAACAGATTTCTTGGGTGGGGGAGTGGCCTTTTGTTCCAACTGGGATGAAAAGGATAAGCAAAGTAAGTAAGTATGTAGGGTGGATCATGGATTGAGCATAGAAAGCAATGCATATTTTCTCTGACCTCTAGATGTGAGTCTGCAAAGGACAAATGTGAATAATTATGCTATATATCAACATTCTACCCCTAGCAGTATACAGGACGATTGTTAAATCAGCCTAGTCACCATAGGGCAAGGACACCACGATACAATGCTGGGCCAGGTTGTTCGAAATCCGGTTAACGCTAACCCAGGATTAAAAGTTGACCGAACTATCATTTTTTCTTGTGTAAAAATATTGTTCCCTTATGTTTTGTGTAGTTTGAGATTACTCAAGCTCAAAACTGAAGAACAAACAATACAAAACGAACACCTCACTGAAAAAATGCAAAACTCAAATCAAAATTCCCACTAATCCTAGGTCAGCTTAATCAGGCTTTGAACAACCTGGCCCAGAATAGCCAACTAGCAATGGTTTCTGCAACATTTGGTTGATACTCAAGCTTCCTTAGTCTTAATCTTCCCACTTCCTTTAAGTTATTTTATAGTGGTTTCTTATGATTTGCATGTCAATGCAAAGATTGCACTCATTTTGTGAGAAGACAAATTGAATATATCCTCTTTGTCTCCAGGTTGCTGTTGCCTTATGAGAAACACGTAAGAAACCAACTCAAAAAGCAGATGGATGAGAAAACTCCTTCTTCTGTTAACAGCCTTCTACAAAATCAGCCCTGCGACAAACCGGGGAAAAAGCAAGGTTTAACAGTTTCGAACAAAGCAAAACCTGACATTGAGACAGACAAGGCTGTTGTACTAAAGCAGAATCAAGGTGCTGTAGGAGCTGTTCCAGCAAGGCCTCCACAGGATGGTACTGCTGTGTCATCACTGCAATCATCACCGTACGTGATGAACACCGCAACTGATGTAAAGGGAAATGCAGTTAAAACAACGGATTCAGGTCAGGTGCACTCTGTCACGGCATCATCTGTTAGCAAGACTTCCTTTAGGCAAGGAATGTCGCCAGTTGTCGTTCGATCCTTCAAACAAGAGTGCCAAGAGCCCAAAACATGCAGTAGCAAGTCAAAAACAGGTGTAGCACCTCCCATCACCTCAGCATCTGAAAAACAAAACAAAGATACACCAACTGAACAATGTCCACAAGACATAAGTCAGCAGAATAGGAACTTTATAACAACCATGCAGAGTGAGGAGGAAGCAGGTGTAACAGCCAACACAGTGTATGCTAAAAACACAGCTGCTAACACCAACCTTAAGCAATCTGTCCAGGCTGTTCCACTCCAGAGGGTCTTTAGAGGGGTACACGATGATGAGCTGACGTCACCTCCACCACAGCTTTTAAATTCAGTAAGTAAAGGAAGAGAGATTATTGATCTAACCTCAGATGACAGTCCTCCAGGGTCGCAATCCAAGAGCCACCTTGTGCCGCACATTCAAGGATCTCAGGCAAATGCACAGGAAATGTCCAAGATGCATAGGCCAACTGGCGGTGGAGACACTGAGGGGCGGAGGCAAGTGCATAAATCACAAGCGAGGCAAGAATATCATGAAAGCAGTAAAAGGCACCATCCCGTTAGGGAAGCACAGACAAGTGGAGAGGTGTCCTCAGTTTATGACGTGCAGACCTACGGCATTCAACCATTTAATAACAACAGAGTTCCACCTCAAATACAAGAGAGCTCACCAGCAATTAAGAAGAGCAAGGATGAAGGCTATCCACTTGTGAAGCAAGAGGCATTCCTTCCAAAACGTGACAAACAGAGGCGTCAACAAGCACGAGTGGAAAGCTTGGAAGGACGATATACACACTCTCCCTCATCAGACAGTGCTGATGAACATTTTGCTGAATGGCTTCGAAGGCAGTCCAGTGTTCAACATCACCGCCCCAAATGCAGTGTCAGTCACCACATACAGTCGCCTAATCCAGAGCTTGGCCAGTTCAGGTATGGTTATGTCGCTGAGGACATGCGTGCTTCAGACTGCTCATGCTCTTTACCAACAAGTAGAAAAGATGAAATTGTCGCAGTAGCCCCTCCAACAAAGGCAAAGAAAGAACACTATGAAGAAGATTTACCATTTCCTGGTATGGCAATGTACCCAGGAAGGTGGAGTCCCTCCATGGTAGCAGATCACCCTGATCTGTATATTTCTTCCCATCCTCCACATCTGGGAGTGCCACCAGATGCACTAGCCAGTCACATGTGTACTCCATCAAGAATCTTCATTCCCACAGCCCAGATTTTTAGCCCTCCTTACCACATGGGCATGGCAGCCATGGGTGCTCCTCCCTTGATAGCTGGTACGGATGATCAACTGCACATTCACCCACACTGTTTGATGGCATCATCATATCCTCGCTCGTCAAGCTCAAGGACACCAGATGGAACAGGTTACCCATTGTACTCCTTCACATAACTGATCGTTTTGGTAGATGTCTATTTTTGTACTCTGAATCTTATTCGCCATTTCCACATCCCCCATAATACACGTTGTTTGCCCCCCAAAATTCTGCATAACCTTTGTTTCCCATTTCTCCTGGGTATTACAGTCGTCCCAAGAGAAACTGAAGACAATGCTCATGCAGAATTTTGGGGGGCAAACAAGGTGTATTGTGGGGTATGTGGAAATGGCGAATTGGAACTAACTGGAACATAAACATATGAAGTTGATATTGTATGAAGGACATTTCCTCCAACATTTTACCGAACTGCTTATCTTTTGCACGTACTAGTCACTTAGTCAGCTGGTCTGACGTAGCCTCTTTTAGTTAGTCGAGCACTCGGTATTTATATGATTGACGAGATAGTCGATATTCTGGAGACTTTGCTGCATACTTGATATCATACTTGATACTTGGAATTCTGTTACGTTAGCTTCAGTGAAGATCGTTCCTAATTTTCACGTCTTTTTGCATATTTCTTTTGAAAAAAGGAAGCCTTGGAGTTTTTAAGCTATAGTGAGCAACCTCATAATTGCTCTCACTGTAAATATATTTATTTTGGCCTTGAGAGCCTTCAGAAACTGTGTTACTTGACACCAACAAACTTCGGTCTCCTATAAGAAACTCTAGGCTTAACAGTACTCTCCAAGGGTTTTTGCAAACGTCGTCTCGATTTCACAGTAAATTTTGTAAATAACATAAAAGGTTTTGGTTTTGTTATGATGCAGTGCGAAATAGTGACTGCAAGCATTTGTTTATGTCGTTAAGGAAAATAATTAGTCTCTAAATCTTATCACTTGATAAGAAGCGATCATGTCAATGTTAGTTCGGATGATTTGGTTGTATTGAGTGGTTTTCAACTGAGTTGCGTGTAAAGTGCAAAACCTAACCAGTTCCTTAACAATTAGACTACTCGGCCAATCTCAGACCTTAGTAAAACCAAAACCAAAGTAATTGTCTGATTACTTTCAACACTCAATTGAAAACTGCTCTAACACAGGATTGTTCTTGTTTGTTAATTATTAGTTTTGATGTATCTATATTATTTCTTGATACCAAAAGCTTATTAATCGAATATGGACATGATTATACAAGAACACCTTTGTTAACAAGCAGATCCAGTGGAACTGTGTAATCTTTTGAAAGGGAGAAAATTTTTGTTCCTATATTCGACATTGTAAGCAAGAGTGAAATTATTTGGTCTCTTAATGTCATGATCAATTATTGCAGTACATTGTAGTTTACCTTTTTCACAAGTTCTGCCATTGATGAATTGTATCACTTCAAGTTAATCACTGTGTTTAACCAGGCTGTTGCAGAGATGTGAATTTTTTTTAAAGCTTTGTAGTATTTTTCTAGACTCCCCAAAAGGCTATTTTTGTACATTTTGTAAATTACGAAGCTTGTGATTTTTTAGCTTGATGTATTGTATTTATTTTTGTGTAGGTCACACAGACCTCAAAGATGAGACTTGAATATATATATATTAGAGTATTTTGCTACCAGGAAATGTAAATAAACCCTTGTTCAAGAACCCACCTTCCCGACTCATATTTTCAATAGTCTGTATAGACTTAGGACAGAACTTACAGGGGTGTAGGACCCCTTCTCAGAGACAAAAAAACTTGACTCGCAATCGACGCCAAATTAATCAATAGGCCAAGTTCGTATTCTCGGTATTACACTGAACTAGCTTGCAATGGAGGCTCATGTAGGGGAAATATCATTAAAAAGTGATGGGTTCCATGTACAATTGAAATAACTCCCCGCATTAGCCTCGATTACAAGCTAGCCAAGAACACGAATATGGTCTATCCCGTGCTTTTCCTGAAGAACACGAGCTGCCCAGATTCCCAGGTCGTCTCCTTCAAAGGAATCCAAGGTAGCAGTAACCTTGAGTTAAATTAGCCAAGAAGACCTGGTGACGATGTTAGCACGAGTCCCTAACAAAAACGATTCAAACCAGACTGCGCACGACTGATCGTTATAAGCAATCGTACTTTTGGTATGCTTGGGCTACTTTGGTCGCACTATAATTCGTATTTTTGCGAGTAACTGTCGAATACCATAACGAGGACGAACCAGCCTCATATATCGGCGAAACTCGACTTGATATCGCAGGAAACAAGAAAGTAGACACGGCTTCTGACGAGCTAAAGTTGGGTAAGGTAACGCAGGATACGAGACATTTGATTAGCTATTTGCGAATTTGGGTACTGTGAAAAACCACTGTTCGCCCGACTCTCCAACAAAAGACACAACAACAAAGACCGCGAGTCACTAAAGAGATAATCAAACACAAATCAAAGTGCACAAAGTATTAACATAATAATTAAGCACAAATCAAATTGCGCGAGGTATTAACGTAATAATCAAACACTAAACAGAGTGCGTCACGTAGTAATCAATCACAAATCCGAGTGCGCAAGGTTTTAACGCCATAGTCAAACAAAACACACATTGCGCGAGGTACTGTAGTAATAATCACACACGAAACAGAGTGCGCGAGGTGCTAACGTAATAATCAAAAACAAGACATTGCGCGAGGTACTAAAGCAATAATCAAACACAAAACAGAATGCGCAAGATACTAACGTAATAATCAAACAAAACAGAGTGCGCGAGGTACTAACGTGATAATCAAACACAAAACAGAGTGCGCAAGATACTAACGTAATAATCAAACAAAACAGAGTGCGCGAGGTACTAACGTGATAATCAAACACAAAACAGAGTGCGCCAGGTACTAACTTAATAGTCAAACACAAAGCAAAGTGCACAAGGTACTACCGTAATAATCAAACACAAAACAGAGTGCGCAAGGTACTAAAGTAATAATCAAACGGCACAAAACAGAGTGCGCAAGGTACTAACGTAATAATCAAACACAAAACAGAGTGTGCAAGGTAGTAACGTAACAATCAAATACAAAACAAAGTGTGCGAGGTACTAATGTAATAATCAAACACAAAACAGAGTGCACTAGGTACTAACGTAACAAACAAATACAAATCAGAGTGTGCAAGGTACTAACGTACTAATCAAACACAAAACAGAGTGCGCAAGATACTAACGTAATAACCAAACACAAAAGAGAGTGCGCGAGGTACTAACGTAATAGTCAAACACAAAACAGAGTGTGCAAGGTACTAACGTAATAATCAAACACAAAAGAGAGTGCGCGAGGTACTAACGTAATAGTCAAACACAAAACAGTGTCCAAGGTACTAACGTTACAATCAAACACAAAACAGAGTGCGTGGGGTACTAACGTAATAATCAAACACAAAACAGAGTGCGCGAGGTACTAACGTAACAATCGAAGAAAAAAGAGAGTGCGGAAGGTACTAACGTAATAGTCAAACAAAAAAGAGAGTGCGCGAGGTACTAACGTAATAATTAAACACAAAAGAGAGTGTGCAAGGTGCTAACGTAATAATCAAACAAAAAAGAGTGTGCAAAGTACTAACGTAATACTCAAACACAAAACAGAGTGCGCAAGGTACTAACGTTATAATCAAACAAAAAAGAGAGTGCGCAAGGTACTAACGTAATAATCAAACTCAAAACAGACTGCGCGAGATACTAACATAACAATCAAACACAAAACAGAGTGCGGGAGGTACTGACGTAACAATCAAACACAAAAGAGAGTGCGCGAGGTACTAACGTTCTAATCAAACAAACAAGAGAGTGCGCAAGGTACTAACGTTATAATCAAACACAAAACGGAGTGCGCGAGGTACTAACGTAACAACCAAACACAAAAGAGAGTGCGCGAGGTACTAACGTTCTAATCAAACAAAAAAGACAGTGCGCAAGGTACTAACGTTATAATCAAACACAAAACAGAGTGCGCGAGGTATTAACGTTATAATCAAACACAAAACAGAGTGCGCGAGGTACTAACGTTATAATCAAACAAAGAGAGTACGGAAGGCACTAACGTAATAATCAAACACAAAACAGAGTGCGCGAGGTACTAACGTAATAATCAAACACAAAACAGTGCACGAGGTACTAACGTAATAATCAAACACAAAAGAAAGTGCGCAAGGTACTAACGTAATAATCAAACACAAATTATAACGTGCGACTCTATGGCGTTTACCATTTGTTAAAGAGAGTGCGCAAGGTACTAACGTAATAACCAACACAAAAGAGAGTGCGGGAGGAGCTAACGTAATAATCAAACACAAAACAGAGTGTGCGAGGTACTAACGTAATAATTAAGCAAAAAAGCAGAGTGCGGAAGGTACTAACGAAATAATCAAACACAAAAGAGAGTGTGCAAGGTAGTAACGTAATAATCAAACACAAAAGAGGGTGCGCGAGGTACTAACGTAATAGTCAAACACAAAACAGATTGTGCAAGGTACTAACGCTATAATCAAACAAAAAATAGATTGCGGGAGGTACTAACGTAATAATCAAACACAAAGCAGAGTGCGCGAGGTACTAACGTAATAGTCAAACACAAAACAGATTGTGCAAGGTACTAACCGAATAATCAAACACAAAACAGAGTGCGCGAGGTACTAACGTATTAGTCAAACACAAGACAGAGTGTGCAAGGTACTGNGTACTAACCTTATAATCAAACAAAAAAGAGATTGCAGAAGGTACTAACGTAATAGTCAAACACAAAACAGAGTGCGCGAGGTACTAACGTAATAATCAAGCACAAAACAGAGTGTGCAAGGTACTAACCTAATAATCAAACACAAAACAGAGTGCGCGAGGTACTAACATAATAGTCGAACATAAAACAGAGTGTGCAAGGTGCTAACGTAATAATCAAACGCAAAAGAGAGTGCGCGAGGTACTAACGTAATAGTCAAACACAAAACAGAGTGTGCAAGGTACTAACGTTATAGTCAAACAAAAAAGAGAGTGCGGAAGGTACTAACGTGATAGTCAAACACAAAACAGAGTGCACAACGTACTAACGTAATAATCAAACACAAAACAGAGTGCGCGAGAAACTAACGTAATGGAATTCCCTTACTATGTATACTAATGTAAGTATACTAGGCATTACTGTGCAGAGATTAGGTTATCTACAGTGACAACGTTTTCTTGTTTTTACAA